GAGGCCAGTCAAATTGCTGTCAGGGTGTTCTGGCATGCTTTCAGAGGCGATGGTTCTGCAGGCAGGGCCGGGAATGACCGCCAGATTGGGGACATGTGCCACAGCTGAGTTTGTGCTGGCCGTTTTCTCTGTATCACTATCAACTATCAGTCTGTATCAGTATCACATATGATGCATGTCTGGTTTGTTTTGGAGTCTTGAGTGTTATTTGCAATGTGGCGATTAATGACTAGACTTAGGACCTAGGAACACCGAATGCTGGCATGCCATGCAGCTGCCTGGGACCTGGGATTTATCAAGCAATCAAGCATGCCTGAACATCAGCTAGTCAGACATTAGTCGTTTGAGATTGACATGACAGTCAGTGTGAATCTCGGCTGTTACAGCCGCCAAACTGCTGCATGTTGCTTCTATCTGGGCAGGTGCTGAACATTCCTTTCGAGTGCCACAGTGTCTCCGATCCTGATGCAGCGTGCCAAGCTTTCATGAAAGCGAACTTTGCGCCAGAACATGTCTACGACTACTTGCATGAACAGCTTCCTGAGCCTGGGTCTTTCGGCCTTTGTCATTGGTTTCAAGTCGGGACACCCTGCCCTCCTTTCAGCAAGATGCGTTTCAAGAGGCATGCTCCAGGGTCTTGCCAAAGCCACAAGGATTATGAGACCATGTTCCAGGTAGTTACCTGGCTGCAGGAACATGAGCCTCAGGCAGGTGCTTTCGAGCAAGTGAAAGGATTCACCATGAAGGAAGATTCCAGAGATCCAACGACACCGCTCGAGAGGCTGGGTGCATGGAGTTGTCATGTTATGACCAGAAGACATACAACAACCCTAATACCCGGTCTGCTGGAGCCCAAAATAATTCACCACCTTATTTGCAGCCAGAGCAGCCAGAGTAAAGTTTGTTGGCAGAGGGTTGAGCTGGTGTTCGGGGGCAGGAGGAGTCAGAGCGAGAGGGCAGTTTGCATGCATTGCATACACACACAACATGTTACATTCCTGCTTTGAAGAAGAAACCTTGACCAAAACCCTGTCTCCTGCTCCTCTTGCAGCTTGCAATCCTGTGTTCTGCATTCTGGATAGTAAACTTATTCACCCTGGCGCTACCCTCTCAGGAGTTTCTTTCAGGTCCGGTATTCCTGGCTTAAGTTTTATCTGATCTTAGTCGTAGTCTTAGTCCCAGTCTTAGTCCCAGTCTTAGTCTTAGTCCTATTGGTCTACTCTTTGTGTTTTTCAGAATTCTATAGACTACAGTCTGGATTCTTGATGATTGTGGCTCAGAACTTATCTACATGCGGTGCATGGAGCTGGACTCTCGGTCCCAGATTGCATGGAGAGCACTGTGACACGCTGATTCTAGAGTTCTATATTCTATATGACATCGAGAGTCTAAGTCTAAAGTCCGGGAGGTCCAACTCATTCATCATAGTCATAGGTCATCGGATGATCCTTACTTTTGGGTTCAATTTTCCTCAGACTTCCCGAACGACGTTTTGAGTCGGGTGTGGCCTGGGAAAACAGGGCCCCATGATCTGGCAGGTTCATGCAGAAGATTGAAGATGCCGAGTGGAAGCTCGGCGGCTATCACATCTTCTATGTGGCCAACGACTTGGCTTCATGGGCCAAGATGTCTCGGCCGAGGACACACGGTGGAACACTGTTGCAAGTGTGTGCGGTTTTTTGTTGTGTCACAGTCACTTGTCGCAGTCCTAGTTCAGGTCCTGGTCCTAGTCACTCCTAGTCACTACTTACTAGTTACTAGTCACTAGTGATAGTCATAGTCGTCGTACTCCTAGTGTCAGTTTGAATGGAGGTTTGTACGTTGTGCAATTGCAACATCTGCTGATTCTGGGGCATGTCCACATTCCATCCCAGAAAACCCCAGGACCCAGGACCCCAGATCTAGATTCTGACTAGTGACGAGTGACTGGAGTCTGACCAGAGTCATTAGAGTTTGAAATCGCATTCCTGTCCGTGTAGCACTAGCTAGCATCAGGTCAGGAAAGGCACCCTCTTTTGCAGTCAGCCAAGTGATCAAACATTCATCAAGCGTGCCAATAATCGAAACTTCCGAGTCTTTTGCATGCGGTTCGTTTTTCGGATACCGGGTTTGGTGTTGGAGGTTCCCATGCCAGAGTGTTGCAGTGGTTTCCATACCCACAATAATTGCTCTGCTAGGTTCCAGGTCAAGCGAATATGACGACTAGCTGACTAATTTGATCCAGTCGAAGGAAACCTTGCTGAACACTTCATCTTTCTGCCTGCTGGTTCTGGGTTCCAGCTGCTCCGGAGCTCACAGGTATCAGCCCAGGCAACGATTGAAGCTGTCCACCAGACTCATGCTGAGATGCTAAACAGCAATCAAAACCATAAGTTGGGAGATTTCTATGACTTTATGATCCAACAGAGTATTTAGTCACTACTCATCGCACTAGTGACGAGGATATTCATCGAGTCTACACTACAGTCGAGAGAGGCTTCGAGTGCAGAATCACTAGGTCATTAGGGATGCACGCTTGGCTTGCATGGGCGTCTGAGTCTGCTGAGAGCCTCCAAGAGGCCCAAGAAGCTGCTGAGCCACGTTCAGAACCAGTGACGCATGATGTGTCAGAGGGCCGTCGGCGACGTGGGCCGGCATTGGGGGGCCGTATCTTGAACCAATTCCTGAGGGAGCAGCCTCTCGAAGTCGAGGCGGCGGCCACTGAGGCCAGTGCTTCAAGCAGGGTATACCCAGCGTGCTTGCTGCCAACTGAATCTGCGCCCCTTGCTGACAGCCCAGTGTGTGGGCCAGAACAAGTTCAGGAGACCCAGCAATCACCTCAAGGGACGGTTTTAGCTGCACTTGCTCGAGCATCTGCACCCTGGCTACAGAAGGCAATCGCAATCTTGGGATTTCAACATACTGCTACGGCTACGGGTGGTGCAAAGCCAAATAGGCTGCAGCTCGAATCGGCTGAGAGGGCAATGGCATCCAGTGCCACTTCAGCAGAAGAGGATGCAACGACAGCAGGTTCTGCTGCTGTGGTTCTCGAGAAGTCGCTGGATTCCTCAAGCAAGTTTCTCAAGAGCTTGTCTGTGCAGGCAGAAGAATTGGGGATGAATCGCAAGACACTCTTAAGCAATAAACATGCAGTGGCTTCAGCCTTGGTCCATGCTTGCGGTATGGCATGGGCTTGCTCCTTGCAGCGGCTACGTGGACTCATCGAAACAGGAGTTCTACGAGGACTTCTGCTGGTCACCAAGAGGGTCTATGATGAGACCCCACTTCGGCTAAGAGTTCGTGTTCCAGGCCCAACAGGAGCAGCTGATGGAAGCTTGAAGCCGAAGACAGATCGTAACCATGCCATAGCGAAGACACTGCAGACCCGATTCTCCATCGGCATTCTTTGCCAGCATGTGAGATCCGGAGCGACTTTTTTCATGCATGGACTCCTTTGTGCCCCACTTCAGCTTCTTTTCCGGACAAGAGCCGAGGATCTGTATACGGCACAGCGCGAGGTCGAAGCTTGTGTGCCTGGTCTGGATGAGTTGCGATCTGCCGGGCTGTTTGACACAGTCGTCCATTCAGCGACCACAGACAGATATGCTGCAAACATGTGTGCAGAGAGGGCTATGGGTGCCTCTGGGCTAAAGCTTCATTTGACCTGTGATGTGCACAAACTAAGCACTGCTCAAACCTATCAGCTTCAGATCGTTGGGTCCCATGTTTCCGCTCTCATCGCTTTGGGACTGGTGCAGCGAGAGGCAGGAGGGCTCGCTGAACTCCGAAAGTGCATGTGCGAAGTGATCAAAGACAAACTGCAAGTTCATGTTGGCCCTCCCCCATCGGGCCAAGCTGCAGAATACCGCAACTCTGTCGCTCGACTTTTCCTGTCAACAAAAGTGACAGAGGCCAGGGTCGGACTCGGAGCTCGGCGGGCGAACCAGCTCGCGACTATTCTGGCATTTTGCAATGGGGACTGGGAAAATGAAGCTGAGATTGAATACTGGACAGAATCGTTCGTGGAGCGAAGTGCCATCGTCGACAGCTTCTGCAGACTTGTGGTCCCGGCATTGGCTCCTACTGCAGTGTGTGTGTTTCCAAGGCACCGCTGGCATGGGGGCGAGCTGGCGGTTGATGCTGCTGGGCTCCTTTTTGCGGTGCACAACATCGGTGGTGAAGCTCTCCGAATGTACTTTTCCACAAAAGGCATCGTGGCTCGCAGTCTTCCACCTCAGGTCCCAGCGGCGACACAGCCCCAGGCTTTAGAAGCAGACTTGTCAGACCAGCAACGTGATGGAGTTGATCCTGGAAGTGTGCAAGCTGTTGATGCATGTGCAGCAGAAGCCGAAGCTCGTGCACAGCCCGCGCAAAGTGCACAGGGAGATGCAGCAGAACATGCACAGGATGCGACCCAGCTGCAGAATTTGTAGGGTCCTCATTTCTCGTTTCGAGGGGTGACAGTTCTGTTATTGAATGGTTCTGGCTGCTTGTGCTGGGGCCATTGGGAATGTGGCTATGCTAGCTATGGCTGTGGGCACAACTGCACCTGCTTGGCCAATTCAATAGTGCAGGCACTTTGCAACACCTGTTCATCATCAGTAGTATAGCATCCCGAGCAGAATCGGTGTGGGCAGCAGACATCAAAGGCATTTTATTTGTTTCCAACAAATCGGTAAGACTTCAAGAGCCAAGGATCCAGATCTTCACACATACCCGAATGTAGCATTTTGTTGTCATGGGTTTTGCCGGATTTTGCAGTGGATACAGAATCAGACACATGTAGAACCACATTCGAGGAGCCTCCCTTTGTTTCCTTGCTTTACATCTTGACCGTACTCGATAGCATTATAATCTTAAATATATCATGCTCATAAATCGGTGATGGCCGAGCAGTCTAACAACTGGCAGCAAGGGTATTCATACTTTATCACGCACAGAAGTTTACAAGTGTTTCCCTGTTGGACTCGAGAGCAAAGGTTTCCGGCAACGCTGTCGACTGGGCTGCTGTCAACCAATCCATGAAACAGTTGGTGGCAAACTGGGTGGCTGCCTCTCCAGGCCCTTGCTTGGTTCTGATCCGCCTTGCTATGACAGTTCCAGTTCGTTTGATGCATAAATTTCTGCAGCTGGCTTCTGATGACTGGGAGAAAAAGCAACAGCTTCGAGCCGCTCAGGGAAAGGACCGAGATTACCGCTTATCTGTGGCATATGATGGGGCAGATGTGGATCGGGCTTTTGAGTCGTTGGGGCAACTCTTCCAGGAGCCGATCACTCAGCTGCCACTGTCTGCGAGAAGCAATGCCATCAAGGTCCTGGCCTTCCGCCTCTTTGCGCGGCTGGCTGGCGCTCTGCATCTACTTCTTAGGATGCCGCGAGCCGCCTTCCCTTTTCGCTTGTTCGGCATGCTGACCTCGGCGAATCCAGCGTCAACAGCAGAGCAGTTGCTTCAGACACCTTGCTGCCTCCTTGATGACTTTTCGAAAGGCTTCTTGGAGCAGCACAGCACTGCTGAAGCTTTGTGTGCTGCTGTCTCAAAGCTGGAAGCTCTGGCGCTGCTGTGCGAGACCGATGTTGTATCGATTGAGTCCCGCCATGCTGCTGCTCGCCGCCTGCTGGTGAGTCGGCAGCAGACCTGGTCTTATTCGTTCACCGACATTGCTGCTGAGCACTTGTGCCGCCAGTTCCACAAATCTCAGGATGACATGTTTGGTGCAATGAAGAAAGATCAGAAGGGCAATCTTCGGAAGAAGCAACAGCGGAAGCACAAGCGCCGAGCCAAGCCGCCCAGTGGGAAAAAAAAAGGTCGCAAAGCCAAGCCGGACACAGCGGATGCAGAACACAGAACTGGAGGTGCCCAACGAGCTTTTTTTCATGAGAGGCTGCAGACAGCTTCTGCTGATGAATGGCGCAATCGGTCAGCACTGTTCAAAAGAGCGAATGATGAGTTCCATCGACTTCCTGCATCAGAGAAGGCTCGCTACAGAGAGCTGGGAGAGGCAGCCACTCATGCCGGCAGGCATGGAGGGCGACGATTTGCTTTGGGAGTTTCAGGCAGTGCTCCACGATCACGCAGGGCAGGAGCACTGGTTCCTGTGGCCAAACATGAGCAGGATGCTTTGGCTCTGATCCGGAGTGCCGAGCAGCGTGCATCGAATGCAAAGAGGCTGGAACTGGCTAAGGCAAGAGCTGCTGCAGTTGAACTTCGTGAGGTCCAGTCCCAGCAGTCATTGGAAACTTATGGCATCATCGATGGTACAGATGTTTTTGCTAAAGGTTCCACTGACGAGCCTGAGTTGACAGTGGAACCTGGAGGAGGCCGCATTCAGGTCGGCCAGTGGTGTCCACCCATTGGTCAAGTCTGCAAGGCCCGAGTCATTTTGTTTGTTTCCGACAGCCTGCAACCCCAAAATCATCAGCCACAGTGTAAGGCCTGTTCAGGGTTTCTGTTGGTTTATGGTTTTTTCAAATCCCACACTGAAGCCCCACACCCTGTAAACCCTAACCGTCCTAACCACCCCAAACCGAAATCAAAGCTCTGCAAATCCTAAAGTCTTAAAGCATGCCAGATATTTTGTGGAGACCAGATGCCTTTGAAAACATAGCCATAGCCAAGACCCCAGTCCCTGGGCTGTGAATGTTAAGTTTTCTGCCCCTCGAATCTTGGAACTAGAAACCCTAACGTGGAGCACTGGACTCGACCCTGTATGCCCAATGCCTTTGAACTTAGAATAAAAGTTTAGAGTCTGGAACCCAAACAACCCCTACGCCTACATGTCTTACTCCTACGTGGTCCTACCTGTTGTAGTCTAGAGTGTAGCCCCTGTTTCAGCCTTTGCGAGGCTGCTTTGCAAGGCGACAAAGATGCTTGGTCAGGCAGGCGTTTTCGCTTGGCCTCACAGCTTGCTGAAAATTGGCAAGAAAGGACGATGTTGCAGATGGATGCCAAGCTGCCTCCAGATTTCAGTGATGCGAGCACAACCACACTGTGTCAGAAACACTACATGTGTGTATGCGGGAGAGCTTCTCAGTCTAGTGAACCAGAAGATGCATGGTTTTGCCATCAGAAAATGATCCGCCTCCTTCGCCCCTTCTTGACGGTGAAGCGGAAACCTAAACAGACGACACCAGCTGGCGATCCTGAGGCAGCTCCAGCTCCCCAGACAGCAAAACTTTCGGTGGAAGCAAGGAAACCTGCTTTGAGAAAACTTCTCGACAAGTCTTTCCTGGTAGCTTGTTTGCATGGTGCATCAGCACCAGCACCAGCAGCTGCCGGAGCCCCATTGAATAAGTGGGCAGCTGCAGCTTTGGGCGCGGAGGACAGTCCGCAAGAGGAGGTTTGGTTCCACATCAGTTACTGCAACCTGCAAACCTGGATGTTTTCTTTCTTGCGCTTGGAAAAGATGTATGCTGATCCCATCGAGGATTCAATTGGCAACAAAGTCATACGACTGAAGGTGCCCGAAGATCTTTGTGTGCAGTCCTCGATTCAGACCTTTGCTGACCTGAAGCTGAACAGATCTTGGAGCATGTCTTTTTATGTCATCGACTCGACTGCCAAGCCGATTGAAGACAATTATGTCACACCGAACACAGTGGATGTTCGCCTTGTGCCGGAGTCCGATATTCCTGAGCTTCGGGTTTGGCTGGGCAGTGATGCCGAACGAGATGCGAGGAGACTTGAGAACAGTCGAAAGAGGAAACGGCAGCAATCATCATCGGCTCCTGCATCGAAGAAGGCTGGACATGCAAATGTTCGCAGGGTTGCCGAGCATGCTGCAGAGTCTGTACACACGGTCCCGGTAGAGGCGATGCCTGGTATTGATGATGCTTGGAGTGGTGATGAAGAGCCTGAGAAGGAAGATGACCCAAATGATGCGCTGCATGAGTTGGCTTCTTTCATTGGTGTCGCTCATGGGCCTGCTGAAGCTTCTGTTGCTGCAGCCGAACCGCCTCCAAAGCTGAACAACGAATCAGCTTCCTCGTCCAGCCTTCAAAGGCCGGTGGCTGCAGGGTCTGAGCTGGGCACATCTGCTGCCAAGGACAAGGCCAAACCTAAGGCCGAGGCCAATGTCGGCAAGAAGAAGCTTGTCAAAGAGGACAGTATTCTTGTGGTGCATGATGGCATTCTGTATGGATCTTTGCGGTACAATTCGAGATCCAAAACCATCATTGCGATCTGTGAAACAGATGGTCACGGTGGACACGGGAGCTGTCGAAAGGAGCGAACAACGGCGCCTTCATCCAAGGCTCTCATCCAAGGGAAATCGGGACGACCGATCGGGTTTTTGGTTCACTGGCTGCTGTCGGGCAAGGAGTACAAGAACTCTGGGGAGCATGTTCACAGCTTCACTGTGTCTCTGCATGAGCGGCAGAAAGCTCGAAAGCTGTTTTTGGAGCTCGAGGGCGGTCGTGCCTTCAGCGAGAAGGCAGAGAAGGCTCCAGAGCCAGGCGAGCCAGATGAGCCCACTGTCTCTGTCTGAAGCTGAACAAAACAAGACTCAGTGTCAGTGAAGTTTTCTTGGAGTGCACAGGGGTTGCAGCCTTTACATGTTGCATCAACAATCGCTTCACCAGCAGGGCTTTCAGCTTAATTATTCTATTTTTCAATCGTCCTTCCGCTTGAAAGCTATGTCTCCAAAGCAACAAGTAACAAGCACTGTTTTCAATTCTCAATCCTAGTCCTCGTCATCCGAGTCGCTAGTCCTAGTCTGCAACAAGTCCTGCCCACCATAGCTTCTTCTGTTAAGTTCTTTTGGAGTTCGTTTGGAGTGGAACCTACATGGACCTCTAAGTTGCGTTCACACTGCAGGATTTTCATCTGCTTCATGCGGAAGGATGTCTACACGGAGAGCATGGCAGTTCGATGGAAGAAGATGATACAGGCGCGACTGATACCAAGTGCTCGTTTGCATGGGGAACAGTTCTGGGATGTGGATGCGCAGGGGATTGTGCAATCCAGTGCAACAGTGACATGCTGCAGTGTCGTGATGTTTCCGGTTGAATCAATGTTACTGAGTTACTGATATCTGATATTGTGTTTGTTCACAAGACAGAAGTGCAATCGTGTATAGTGTATGCTGTGTCCTGCACTCCAACTTTGCGCCCCTGTTCTCTCTGTCCAACAGGATGTGCTCTGTGAGCAAGCTCATGCTGGCCCACGGTGTTTGTCGACTTTCCTGGAGGGTAGCAACTCTGATTTGCTCTGGTCTTGGCAAGGCTCCCAGAAGGCCTGGTTTTTTCAGGATTGGGTTGGAGCCAGAGACGACTGACTAGTGGCTTTCAGGTGTATGGGCCAAGTGGGTTGTTGCGAGATTCATGTGAGATTGCCCAAACCTTCGTGGTTTCATACTTGGGCCTTGCCTCTTCCAGAAGAGGACCGGATCGGATAATGTTGATGTTTCTGACTTCCGGTTTGCAGTTGTGCAAGCCATCATGCCAGGAATCATTCTAGACTCTGCTGGACAGCATACACATTGTTTTGTTCCGCTCGGAATTGGAATAAAGGCTGAGTCTTTAGGACCTTGGGAAGCTCGATTCGTTGGTAGCCCCGCATCCCCGCACTTCAAATCCCGACAATGTGTTGATGTTGTGGCCTTATTGACTCCTGTTTCCAAAGCTCCTGCTTAGGCAACCCATACTTGCAGGTAGATTTCTGGTTGCAAACACAACATTGTCTGAGCCTGGGTCTGAGGCTGCAGCAACAAATATGCTCACCCAATTCGGGGCCTATTTTTTTTCTATTCTCCAATTTGCAATGATTAGGTGTTGTATTTTCGGAGCTATTTTTTTCCTATTTTCCCGCCAAGTCGTATGGTACATTTTTCCTATTTCCCAGACCCATGCATCAACTTTGTTTCTATTTTTTTGCTATCTGCGGCCACACTAGGATTTCCTATATTTTTCCTGTTTTTCCTAGGAAAAATAGGAAAAATATAGGGAAATAATACGAAAATAGAGAGTTTCCTATATTTGCAGTAGTTTCCTATTATTTTTCTATTTTTTTCCTATATTTTTCCTATTTTCCCTAGGAAAAATAGGAAAAATATAGGAAAATAATAGGAAAATAGTAGGAAAATCCAAAATTTCCTAGGTTGGCACTAGTTTCCTATTTTTTCCTATTTTTTCCTATTTTTTTCCTATTTTTTCTTATTTTTTTCCTATTTTTCCTAGGAAAAATAGGAAAAAATAGGAAAAAATAGGAAACTAGTGCCAACCTAGGAAATTTTGGATTTTCCTACTATTTTCCTATTATTTTTCTATATTTTTCCTATTTTTCCTAGGGAAAATAGGAAAAATATAGGAAAATAATAGGAAAATAACAGGAAACTACTGCAAACATAGGAAACTCTCTATTTTCGTATTATTTTCTTATATTTTTCCTATTTTTCCTAGGAAAAATAGGAAAAATATAGGAAATGCTAGTGTGGCCGCAGATAGGAAAAAAAAAGAAACAAAGTTGCTGCATGCGTCCGGGAAATAGGAAAAATGTAGCACACGACTTGGCGGGAAAATAGGAAAAAAATAGCTCCGAAAATAGACAAGCAAATCTGGGCTTTTGGGAGAATAGGAGAAATATACGTCCTAGACTTGGAGATTACCATGCTTCTGAAAATAGTAGCTGTGACCGATTCCAGGACAGGCTCTCCAGAACACAGACAGGTCATACCGTTTCCAAAGTGGATGTTCATCGCTAGCCGCCTTTGAAGCTTTAAAGTTGTGGAAGCCAGGGTATGTCGTACTGCTCATTGACTAGAGTGTCAAGTTGTTGCTTGGAGCAGTACTTGGCGACATGTATCCATCACACTGCAATCGGCCCTAGTAAGACTTACTTTGTGCTACTGCTGGATTGCGGTTGGTGCACCACTACTTGTTCTGTAGCTTTCACTGCACTCATCAAGGGACCATGGCATTGGCTGCAGCATTCTAATAATAATAGGCCATAGGCCATAGGCACTCGGTCCTGTTATCATTGGATGTTGTTTGTCTTTGTGGTTCTGGTGGCAAACATGTATTGAAGGATTTTGTTTGCTGAGTCTGTAGCTTGGCAGGCGAGCCGAAGATCCAACAGGTCAGAGGAAGGTGTGGTGCAGCAGTGGCAGGTTGCATCAGACAAAATTCGTACTGCGCTGGGGCTCAGCCGTTCCTGGAGTGCATGGACCAGCCAGCCCCGCTTTGCTGCTCATGGCCTTCATCTCAATGCTCGTACGAAGGATTTGCTGAATGTTTGCTTCGGAGCACACCTCAGGAAAACAGGGCTGGCCTTGTGGCTGTCCCACGAAGCCAAAGAGAGTGTCCAGGAGCTTTTCGTTGATATCTCGCAGGGTGTGCAGCGTGAGCCATGGAATCGAGCAGGGGGTGAGGCACCATGCCTCACAACGAGCACCAACCTGTATGCTTTTGGCAAGGATAGGGCTGTCTGTCCACACGAGTTGGCACGTATGATGGGCTGGCCTGATCAGTTTGAGGTTCCTGCCATGGTAGGTCTCCAGAAGCTTCGACAGATGATCGGAAACGGTATTGCGTTGCCGTGTTTGGGGACTATTTTGCTGACATGGCACACGCTTCGTATGTCGAACGAGCAGACACGATCTTTGTGATGATTGAAGCAAGTTTCGCTCAGCAGAGTCGCATGTACAGGGAATGTGTTTTTGGCCCGGACGCTCATAGTCCAGATCTGCACCGCCACACCTAACCTAACAACCATGGAAGCCTTCTTCTAATCAGTCCTCAGCAAGAACTATGTAACGATGTAAACTATGTTTATGTCTATGTGCCAGGATGACCGATGTTTAAGATTTGAAGACTCCTGTGGTGGCAGTTCTGCATGGAGCTGCAGGCCTTAGTTGTCTGTTGCATTCTGCAAATAGGTCCCTAGGTTTGTGTGCCTTGAAACCGGGTCCAGAGCAGTCACAAAGAATGGCAAGCACAGCGCCGTTCAGGAGCTAGGCCTTCGATTCTAGTGGCCTAGTTGCTTAGCTACTGTGACAGGCTGGAACTGACCCTGAGACATGCCGCATCCAAATCAGTCATTGGAGTTCTGCATCGCTTCGCATTGCAGCTTCATGCATCAGATTGCCTTGTCAATTATCTTTATGCCTTATGCATTGTCCGACAGTATGACAGCCGAGCATTCGTAGCCGCACAGATCTGTCTACTTCATCAAGGGCAGGACGCACCGCTTGAATCATGCCCCCGAAAGTGAAGGAGGACCGCATGATTCTAAGTGGGTGGGCAGAAGTGTGTATGTCACCTTGTAGTTTTGTTGCACAGATGCCAGTCATTCAGTACTTGCACTGCTTCGGACTGGCAGGAATCATCCGGGCCATCCATGCGAGCATGGGCGGATGCCGGGGTTGTGGAGTTGGAGTTGGAGGATTCCTTAGCTCCCATCCAGCCTCCACCTTCGGCACCTGTGCCCAAAGCAGCCCCAACTCGGCGAGCCACAACGAAAGGTGCTAACACAGTCTTGCATTGCATGAGATGCAAGCGCTCCTCCAAGGACTGTTTTCCAAATAGCTCACTAGTCACTAGATTGGTTGTGTTTGTGCAAGCTGCATCATGTTTGTGTGGGGTGCTTGCAGGAAGCCACATGGGGTGCCTACACCCAGAATGGCTTGCCTTCGGAAGAAGCTTGTGCCCGTTGCCGCAAGATATGCCGGGTTATTCTTTGCCTGGAGTGGCAAATTGCAATGGCCCGCCTCCAGGATCCGAAGGACCCATTGTCACAGTTGTGGGGTGACATAGACGCAAACCTCGATGCGTTCGAGGCAGGTGAGGACTTTCCCAACCCAGTGCCAGTTCCCAGTGCTGTGCGGAACAGCACATCGTATGTGGAGGAGTTTTCACAGGAATGTGCATTCATCACCGAGGCTGAGTGTGTGAAGTTTGTGGGTGCCACACCCACATCTTTGGGATACCAGCTTGAACACCGTTTCGGTGTGGACGGCCAGACAGTCTTGAAGGGCTTGCATGTGCAGCTTCGCGACCTTCCAGCAACCATGAGTGTTGGAGACATTCTATCGCTCCATAAAGTGAAGCTTTCACATGTGAGAAACTTGTCGCAGGATGAGTTTCTTTTGCGCCCCGAGAACCAGGTACACCAAACCCAAGCCAAGGCGGTTCGCACCAGTGCATGCAGTGCTTTGGTGAGTCAGCGGGCATGGCACCACAAGGGAGTGCTGGCTCTGCCGACGCTGCGAGCACTCAAAGAGAAGGCCGATGGTTTGGAGGATAGCTTGGCAAGTGCCGCTGCAGGCTGTGGCAGTGGTGACACGGTCGACAGAAAGAGAACCATCGACTTTTCATTGGGCTCCTTGCAAGACGAGAATCCAGCTGGACCAGCAGGTTCGAGAAAGGCACAGAGGAAGGCCAAAGCCAAGGCTTCGGCCCCTGGGGACACTCCAAGGCGATCCTCCCGTGGATCTGACAAGAGCAACTTTGGTGGCTCCGACAAGGCGGCGACAGGAGCTTATTCTCCTGA